ACAGGTGATCCGTAAGGGGAAGTACTAGGCCGAATCCATCCCTTCTCTGTCAGCTCCTTGAGTTGCTTCCGAAGTTCATCTAACTCGGCAGGGGTCATCCTATACATCATTCCCTTTGGGGTCTTACTCCCTGGAATGATTTCTATAGCGTGGATGACTTCCCTATCAACAACTCCTGTGGGCTCCTCGAACAGATCAGGGAACTTAACAACGACGCGTTCTATCTCCGGGGGTGTTTTAACGGCCTCCCCCTTCCTTAGAGACATAAACAAGGTACATACCTTCCTCTTGGTTTTGCTTATAGTAATTGTAGAACGCAGATGCGCACAAGCAGCCATAGGTATCTATAATACTATTGGCCTTGAACTTAGTCATTCTGACAGTTCGGCCATCGGGCTACTTCTGTTTGAGCACCTTCTTATCCCAGTCAAACTGGGGCTTAGCAATATCGAGGTAGTACATGCCTAGCAACATGTCAAATGGCAAGTCTCTACTAACCAAGAACGAGATCTTATGGCTAAGCTCACCTCCTCCATATGAGAAGGTACAGACTACGTCCTTGAGGTAGTCTGTGACAATCATGCGTTCTTTGTTGGCCAAAGTAGATGCTACGGGTCTACTAAGGTGCCGTACCCGGTCCTGTAGGTGCAGCCTTTCCAAACAGTCGCGACTTATGTAATTTCGCGTGGAGCCTGTGTCTATGAAGGCACCACATTTGCGGCCTCCTACATCCACTTCCACAACGAAATGTTCCCCTCTAGGACCCTTCTTTAGCGACGCCCAAGACTCACGAGGGTCCTTGTTTGACCACTCGCCTTCTAAGTCTTCTAAGGCCTCAGACACATCTAACGTACAGAGCATTGTTTGGTCTAGATGCGTCTGAGGGGTAGCTAAGGAGTCATTAGCTTCGGCCTTGTCATGAGGTGAGGAGGGTATCATTCCCACTTCATCTTGAGTAGAAGCTGCTATCACTTCCACTGGCCCTACGCGTTTCCCGAGCTAGAAGCTTGGGAAATAGTTGCCCCAACCTTTGGTGCAACCTTTTGCGTAACCTTAGCGTTCGGGCACTTCCACTGCGTGTGTCCGTATTCACCGCAGTTGATACAAGCGCCACGCGATCGGTGGTCACGCCACACGTCCTGGTCAAGACCTGCCTTGACCCACTCAGTCTGTTTGGACTGATTGGAGGCGGCCTTCCCTTGACTCCTAGGTTGGCCCTTCCCTCGGCCACCTGCCTTAGTCTTTACTACCGCGGCGAGGGTGCTACCCTCAGCTACCTCCTCGCCGTTACACTCTGAATAGTCCACCAGGTCAGAGAGCTCGTCGATTTCAGTTTGGGTCCCATCTGACTCAACCATCATCAACTTCGCCCCCTTCTTCTTCCACTCCTGGGGACTCTTCTTCTTCTTTGAGTCGTTCCCTGAGGTGGGTTGAGCATTGCCTAGTGTTGCCTCTAAGTCTAAGGCCTTCCTAGACAATGTCTCAAACGAGTGGTACTCGGTGCGTGCCTCACTGGCCAGTTTGTTCCTGATGTTCTCTGGAAGACATCTAACAAAAGTTGTTAACAGGAACTGGTCACTGTAGTTGATGCCCGGGACAAGGATCAGGCCCTCCGCTGTAGTCGTAAGCTCCCTAACTGACCTGAACTTGCGTTGGTCAAGTTTGTTAATGGCATTAGTGGCCCTTTGAGCCTCCTGTGGGTTATGCCATCGAGCTTCTACCATCTCCATGAATTGGTATAAGGTCAAAGACTTAGCCCAATCCACCATGCGTCGCCCGTACCCGGCCTTTACAACTACACCATCAAGCCACTTGGTTGCTTTACCCTCTAGGTAAGATGCCGCAGTTACCACCTATCCTCTGGCAAGGTCCTTTTGGCCTTCACCCAAACCGGGACCGTCCTCAACCATGTGTTGAGTTCCTCGTCCTTTCTCTCGCCTGAGAAGGCAAGAGGCGGTTTCATTGGGGTCTTGGGGTACCATTGACCTTGCTGCTGTCCAGATTGCTGAACAGATTGTTGTGGTGATGTAGCATTCACCACTGGACCCAAAGAAGAAGACGCAACAGTCTGCGAGACTGCTGCAGACGTACCACTTGGATGTGTGTCAGCTTGTACGGGAAAGGGACCTGACATCGCTGTTAACAGCAACGGCGATTGTCCTGGTGGCCGGAATCCTGGCCTTGTCAAAGCGTCCAAGATCTGGTCTAAAGTGTTTTGCATGAAGTCCAACCTACTGTCCACATGCGCATGCAGTGACAGCATGTTGTTCCTCAACACTTTCATGGGCTCGTTCATTCCTGAATCGTCCAAGCCCTCCAACTCAGCCTTGTCAGTCTCTAGAGTATCAAGTCTCTAGAGTATCAAGCCTGGCTGTTCTATTTTTGATCTGCTTTTCTATGTCGGTAGCCTGTTTCAGTTCCCTCTCTAATCTTTCACGAATCCTTTCGACATGTTGAAGCTCCCTGAGCTCCCTCTCGCGAGGAGTCAACGGGCTGAACTGCACGCCCGTCATTTGACTTGTAGACGGCCTAGACCCTAGTGAAGTGGAGATACCCGGGGACCCCGTTGGCATTCCCAACTGGGTTCCTGATGAGGACGCAACCGTAGTTGCAGCAGAGGTTGCTGCTGCGGTAGCCATTGCTGTTGTCGTGGCTGCTGCGGCAGCCTGCTCCCTAGCTGCAAGGTTTACTGCTTCTCTCGATGCTGCGAGAGCACGGGCTCCACGTTCGGCACGAAGCCGTCTTTCTTCTCCCTCGTCTAGAGTCCTGAACGCGTATGGGATCCTTCTTGATCTTGCACGTGTAAGTCTACTATCGTCAACTCCCTCCTCGTCGACGTCTGCCCCGTTCACGAATTAGGCAAACATTGTCTGCACTAGAACTCCCTAATGGAATCCTACCACAGCATGTGTCTGACCAGCACCTAATTTTCTAATAATGGTTGTGTCAGGCAGTTCCCCTACTGTACCGATCAAGTGGCATGTCTACAACATTCACACAGTTTGTCTACATAGTCTAAATGCACTTTGACTTGTTCACTTACAGCAGCACTAGTTAGAACTGGCTATGGTAGCATACAACAGTCCTACACTAATCTCTCTGTGAGGTGTTAGCAGTCTGTCCACCAACTAATCAAAGGTACAAAAAGACAATGTAGCAGATGTATGATTGATGGGTATGGTTGTGTATACAGTTGAGCACCAATTAGAACCTCCCCTCCCCTCCATCCAACATACCGAACAGCATCATTGAGCGAGCAGTGTCTTCGTGTGTGAATCSGCCCACCCCTGTGCCCAAGTTGTCACCGAKCAAGCCAGCCCAACCACTCTTATTTACCCTCGTACGRCGACGAGCCTTCCTGTCCATGTGATCTGGCTGATCAGGAGGGATTTATAGAGCGCCCCTATCTCTTCAGGAATTATTTAAYGTCGCAGTCARGACGACGATCACARCCAGAATCACAAYGAACTCCCAACCAGAAATGTTTATAGACGGTCTGGTAAGCGTCTGTCATGGGCTGGCACACCCGGAGGAACTTCTATCAGCGCAGCAAGTGCCAAACAGGGCAGCAGCCATCGCATGCGTGCACTACTCCCTGTGGGTTGGCATGGTGACCGTGACCCAAGTGCTTCGACCAAGGCCCTTCAGAGGCACCGCCCCTTTCTCCTTCCAGTATGCTTCCAGGAAGATTGTCGTCTCTCAAGGTAGCGCGCTCACGACACCTCACCAAAAGAGAGGACTCTCAAGTTGGACTCACTTCCTCACGGTAAGAAGAGATTGAGAGAGTACATAAGGTAAGGAAACAACGTACCTGGAGATAGCTGCCCCCAACCACAAATTTCTGACCAATTGAGCCGATGTTGCATTTGATGACCGGTCATGACCTCGGTACCACCCACAACGCAATGCAGTGCCACCTTACTCCAATGCCACATCAGCATGCTCTCATCATCAATCAAACATTCCGCCTGTCACCACAGCTAATATACCGTTTGTAGCCTTCCGGTGCACCCCTCTCTACACAGGGCGTGCACCAATAGTGGCCTGACGTCACAAGTACCCACTGCGAAGAAGCATCATCAACGCACCAAGTCTGTATAACGCCAGCGTGCCAAAGGTAAGTGGCGATCTTACCAGCTCTGATACCAAATTGCAAGGAACATGAGTATGGACGAAGCACAGAAATCCAGAATGCAAAATCACACTGAAGTCCAAGTATTCAAAGCCAAAGCAGATAGCACATGGAACCGAGTAACCATCCCATTGAGAATGATACAGAAGAATCGTGAGTCAATGTCCATGCCCAACAGGGCAACACCAACAGCATAACCCAAATGTAGCTCTCTCTTGTGAATGGCGCCAGGCGCCCTATCTACCCTACAGCCTATCCTACAACTACAGCAATGAGCAGCAACCAGACAACTTGACTACCAGCGAGTAATGATGTCAACACCAATGCCGTATTCACCATCACCAGGTACGTTTTATCTTCCCCACACTCTCTCTTGTTACCCACACAGCGCCATTCACCTCCGAAGTACCACCTTCGCCCTCACCTCCCCGGCACCCTCTTGCTAACCGGCTATGGCCGCCAGTGCCCTGCATGCAGACAGCGCCCTACCGCCTAGCGCTGGCCTGCTCTGTCTTAGCGCTGCGCTGCGCTGCATAGCGCTGCACACTTGCATCCGCCCAGCGTGCCCGCATATGCCAGCATTGGCCAAGATCCTCGCTGCCTCGCCCTGCTTGCCTATATGCCCCAGTGCAGTGTGTGGGCGGCCTCCCTTCAGCCTGTGACCGGGGCCCAGAGGCTGAAGCCAACTCGATACAGTTGGGCCTCGGGGTAAGGCAGTTGCGCCTCCTTCATCAAGGCCTGCGGCCAGATTCAGACAGTGGGCCGATTTCCCTTTGGCATTTTCGGCCTCTCTTCCCAGCATGCATTGTCGGCCTCACGTTCAGATGCCCAGGGCCTAACCAACTCAGAGGCCCTGGGCTTTTAGCATTTGCTGAAATCCGAGACTCGGTGCAATCCAACCAACTGGCGTGCTGCAACTGTATGAACCCCACTTCGTAAAATGTTGCACAGAGCGCTCTTGGCGATTTGCTGGCCCGCCTTCACTTAGGGCGGGCACTAGGCTTGCTGGGGCCTTAGCCTAGAACATGTACATCATGGCAAGGCCCCTACTTGAGGGCTCAATCCTCACAT